TTAAAAACCAAAACACAGATTTACTAGTCAGAGACTAGAGGACCCCAAGACTATAGCTCTTGCTTATTCTTCAGTTCTGTATCCGGACTCACCCTTGTCAATTTTCAACCAAGCAGTAGATAGATACACAGAGGGGAACACCAGTACTAACGAAGTCTGCACACCATGGAGTGGTCAGCCATTCAAGATCAAAAAGGCAGCATTTACCTAAGGATTCAGAAGGGCTGGAAAAGGTGGTTGAATGGAAACAATCAGGGGGGAACTGGGATAACCATTATTATTATATGGCAGGGACTGTAATCACTGAAATAAAATGTAGAATATGGTTTGTTGTTTGCAAAACAGACGATCTGCTCTGTAAATCTTAAAATTTTTCACAATAAAAAGTGTCAAAGATTAAAAAAAAAAAAAAAGTGGGCCCTCCAGCCCCAGTTGAGGCTTCAGACGATGCAGCTCCAGTTGACAGTTGGGTTGCAACTGTATGGAGACTCTTGAGCCAGAAACATCCCACAGAATTGCTCCAAATTCCTGACTCAGAAATTGTAAGATAATATACCTTTGTTTTCAACTATTATGTTTCAGGGTGATTCGTTATGTACGTAGGAACAGATAACTAATACCAAGCGCATTGCCCATCCTGCAAAACTCAAGTTGCCATATTATAAAACTTTAAATAAATAATTATAAATAGAAACATAAATTGAAAAAATAGGAAAGCAAACTTGTTTGAAATTTTTCAGTTAAATACTGATGTTGTTAAGTGCTGTTGAGGCAGTTTCGACCCATAGCGACCCTGTATAGGGTTTCCGAGGAGCAGCTGATAAGCTTGAACCACCGACCTTGTGGTTCAAACCGATTTTGCAGTACAGCGCATTAACCCACAGTACCACACCAGGACTGATGTTGTTGTTGTTGTTGAGTGCCATCGGACTGATAAGCAACTATAATACCAGTCAGCCCATCCGGCTTGTAAAAACAATGAACAATGTACTGTCAGCAGAACATGGCTTTTCTGTGGAAGAAGATAGAGCAGGTTGAGCAGGAAAGCTGAGAATGCAGCATCAACATTTTTAATATTGGGGAGGAAATAGTTTGTAATTCTAAAAACACAACTTACTATTTAACCATGATCAGATGATAAGATATTCCACAAAGTCTGCCTTATCTATTGCAAATTGATTCTAAAGCTTTATCTTGTCATAGACTATCAATCATATACCCACTGATAAACACACAAAAAAGATAAGGGCGATACACCACATTTTACCAGTAGATTATTCTGCCATATCAAAGCATGAATGTTTTTTGTAATGTCTCCACACCATATCCAAAACACTTCACTAGGTCATAAAAGCATCCTTTTCAAGAATATATAAGATTTTCTATAACTAGAAACAGCTCTTTTTTTAAAAAAAATATTTAATCAGAAAGTGCACATAGTACACACACATTTAGTCCATAAATCAGTTATTTTAAAACATCAACAAAAAGTCAACAACAAAAGAAAATCAAGAAAGCTTTTCATTTGTCTGACTGGAAAAAAGACCACTGATTTCAGCAAAGAAATGAACTGTAATACATTCTTAACAGTAAAATCCTCCCTATCTTAAATGATTAATTACTTTGTAGCACTGTAAGATAAACACTGAACTGCTAACAGCAAAGTTGGTGGTTCAAATTCACCAGCCACTGCTTGAAAACCCTATACAGTGTTGTTGTGAGTCGGATCTGACTTGATGGCACTTAATAACAAAACAAAATGATGAATCCAGTTATCTCCACAATTCTGGTATATCGCTTGGGGTAGCCCACTCCTCACTTATCAATATAGTTAGGTTCCAAGGACCAAGTGATTATGAAAAATAAGCTCCTCATCTTTGGTGCCAATGCTCCTCCGATCTCTCATCACCCATCAGGTGTTCCCAGTGTGCCTTGGGATGCATGTGGCACAGTGGGCTCCCCTTCTCCACCATCACAGAGCCCATAGGGGTTGAGGGTGGTGATGGTGGTTGGGTGTTGTCTATCTTCTGCTGCCTCCAACTGCCCGCCCTGGGTGGGGGCTCCAGTTGTCTTCCATTTGCCTTGGCCCCACATGGTCCCCTTGCAAAGTCCCTTCACCACCTCCCCAACACTTTCAGGCCCTTACCTAGCCTCCCCTCTACCTGCAACCTCACATAATCCCACATCATCCCACCCCTTCATTGCCAACCAAGATGGTATGGGAGGATGGGAGTGTCCTCCCTTGTGTGACCCAGTTGTCTCCATGGTCTTCAGCATATCATTTGGGGTCGCCCGTAGAGGAAGCCCAGTCCAGCCCAACATGGGAGCCCAGACCACTGGAGAAGTTTTTTTCAAAGTTGCCCAAATGTCAAATAATGAGGTACTCAGTAAATGAGGAGCACATGTACATGTTGACACTGAAAACAATACAAGAGCACTAAGACTGTACTAAAAATTAAAGCAGCAGCTATAAGTGCTACTTGATTCCAACAGGAATAAGTTTGCCCTCAACCTTGGCTTTGAAGTCTTTAGCATTTGACTACCACAGTTTCCCATGTCCTTGCCTGTTTCTCCTGAGCAAAGTAAACCATTTAAATTGCTAAGTTCTTTCATATAACTAACATAATGATTAAATGTAAATGCTAGCTGATCTTCTGAAGTTCACTGGCTGAAATTTTTAGGTGCTTTCCAGATGTTTCCCATAATGTAAATTTTTAAATACCGTCACTAAAATTGAAGACACCTGGAATCAATTAGTCCAACCAGCTAATGGAACATGTGAACATCAGCATTCACGACTCTTGAGACCAGGAGAACTAGATGGTGCCTGGCTACCACTATCCGCTGCTCTGAAAGGGATCACATTAGAAGGTCCTGGATAGAGTGGGAGAAAATGTAGACCAAAACTCAGAATTAAAAGGCCAGAATTACTGGTCAGAAAGAGACAGGAGGAATCCGAGACTATGGCCCTGGACCACCATTCAGATCTAGAAAGGAATTCACCTTGTGGGCCAATTTTCAGCCAAGTGGTAGGTATACAGGGGGGACAACAACACTGGTAATAAACGCTCACCACAGAAAAGTCAATCATTCAAGATCAAAAGGGCAACATTTACTTAAGAACAAAGTGCAGAAGGGATGGGAAGGAGGGAGTAAAGGAAATCAGAACCACAGGGAGGAAGCTGGGTAACTGTTGTTTATGGAGGGGATTGCAAATCATTGAGAGGAAACAAAGGGCATGATATATTGAATGCAAAACTGATGATGTGCTCTGTAAACCTTCACTCAATTCACAATAAAAAGCTTCAAAAAACACCATCATTGGAAAATAGTTGCACCTCTACTACAATATTGTAGTCATATGATAAAGCAATAATGTATGAGGTAGAATTTACCCAGTTGTAACACATGCTTTTGAAAAAAACTGCCATAAAATTATATCCACATGGCCCTCTAATCTTGCAACAATGTTGACAGTGCAGAATTTCCAAGAAATTACTTAGAAATGGTCAAATGTCTATTTAAATAATCTTGCTCATGGAGAAAGATTCGGAAAGTTTGTTTCCAGTATATGACTGGCTATACTGTTTCCGAAGGAGCACATTTCCAAAGCTGAGTATTTTTAAATGGCACACTGAATGCATGTGTAACTTTGCAAGTACATTAGTATTTGATTACGCCTTCTTGTAACACTGCCATGCTCTAATATGTTTAAGAACGAAGCTGTATGGAGGTACTATTTTTTTTCTGTAAAAGCATTGTTGTTGCTGTTGTTATTAGGTGCCACTGAGTCGGGACTCATATCAACTTTATGCACAACAGACAAAACGCTGATGTGACGACGGGTTAGACACTGTTCTAAGGTTTTCAGTGACTAAATATTCCAAGTAGTCTGACTCTCCTTCTTCCTAGTCTAGCTTAGTCTGGAAGCTCAGGTGAAACCTGTCCACCACGGATGTAACCTGGTGGTATTTCAGATACCAGTGGCAAAGCTTCCAGAATCACAGCAACACGCTCGACAAACTGACAGAGGTAAAAGCATTGAGGAAAGACAAGGTCTAGAATCATCTATTATATATCAGGCCACAATTCACTGAACTGAGAAAAAAAAAATGATTAAAGGACACAGATAATACGTTTCTGCAGGAGAAACCGTACTAACAGCCATAACAGCCATGACTCCACCAAGGAATTGGCATCAGAAGTAGCTCATTCTTTGTGAACTTACAGAAGGTATAGCTGCACCTTCAAGCGCCTCTCACCAATCAAACGCCACGTTCCAAAACAACACGCCTTACATTTAGGAGGCTTCTTCTGTACCTACTAACTAAAGTTCGCATAACTTTTGAAACTTTCAAAAGCATCCGAATGTCAGACGAAATAGTAGCAACGTGTTTCATCAGTATTACGGTATTTAAATGACCCCATTCCCCCCAATTTTTATGCCTGAATTAGTTATTCGCTCCTTTAGATCTTCTGAACTAGCCTTTTCACCTAGACTCAAGCTCTGACCTCCCAACGTTCTGCACTCGTTTTGAAAATACTCGGTTTTCGGATTAGCGTCAAAGTGGCGTGGCCTCATCATTCCAGATTCCTTGTGAGCACAGAAGTCTGCTCTTGATGGTGGAGCCCCGGATTCCCAGGAAAAAACACCTTCTTCATATGAGACTTCCTTCTTTCTGCCCCAGCCACCGCAACTGGACTGTCCACCCGAGCAGCCAGGACGTCCGGCCGTCCCCGTAAACGTCGCCTTCTGCGGCTGAGATTCACATCCAGCCGTGTCCATCCCAGACTTGAGGAGCAACACCCCTCTTTGGGGTGCGCCACTTAACACCTCCCCCCCCCCGCCCCCGATCGCCAGGCAGGAAAGTTTCCTTCGGCCTCTCCGCATGGGGACCCTTTCGGGGCATACGCGGGGGACTCGGGGGGCGCCCGGCAAAGCAGCAGGCAAGCTGCGTCGGCTGACACTGGGGGTCTGGACGCCCGGCCGCGCCCCTTACCTTGCGCGATGGCTATGGACTCGAAGCGGTGCAGCTCCTTGAGCAGGCAGCTCCTCTCGGTGGAGTGCAGGCTGTAGATGAAGTCGCGCGCGCCCTGCGCCGTGTTCAGCGCCTCCATGGGCTCCTTCTTGGGGTGGGTGCCCAGTCCCCGGGGACCGGAGAGGGCCAGAAGCCCCCGGCCGCAGCAGCACCAGGATGGCGGGCGCGGCGCGGCAGCGGCGGCCGGGCCGGGCCTCAGGCTGCGCGCGCTCCGGCCCCTCAGCAGCGGCAGCAGCCGGGACATGGCAGGCTGAGGAGCCGGGACCCCCGCGGCAGTCTGGGAGGGGTTTGCGGGCGAGGCTGGGGGGAGAAGCAGCTAGGCTCAGCCCGACCCCGCCCCGATGTCCTGCTGACTGGCAGCCGAGGCGCCGGCACCATACACCGCCGAGGCCCGTACGGCTGTCGCCTCCTCTTCCGTCCCCCCTTCCCTTCCACAAGGCCCGCGGCGGTTCCGGCCCCTCCGACGAGAAAACTTTCTGGGAGGTGGCGGGGCCCGGGGAGCTCGCGGAGAGGACGCGCGGGAGGTGCGGGCGAGCGCCCGCGGGCTGAGGAGGAGCGAGCGGCGCGGGCGGGCGGGTTCGGTGTGTGTATGTGTCGGTCGGGCTGCTCTTTCAGAGGGATGAGTCAGCCACGCGCCGCCCTCCTTGGGAGCCGCCCTCCTCAGCCGCCAGCTTTCCCACCCTTTAGCTTCTCGTCCTCACTCTACCGGGATTCGGCGCCCTCAAAGCAGCCGCGCTCCCAGGCCGCAGCCACCGCGGCTACCCCTAGCGGCTGTATAAGGGGTAACAGGGCGGAGCGGAGAGAAAGGGGCGGGGCGGGGCGGGGCTGCGCAGGCGCGGTCCTCCAGCTCGCGGGCCACGCTCCCGCCTGTGGGAGGCGCGTGCATACGTTTCCCCACCCTCTCGGGTTAGTGTGGCGGAGAAAGCGGTCGCACGTCCCAGACCTGGTCCACGTCACCCTAGCATCCAGCCGGGAGGACAGGGAAGAAAGCGCTTAGGACCCCGCAACAAGATGCTAAATCTGGGATTCGTGCTGAAAGGGGCCTCATCTCCGCTTGGCCGACTGCGCCTGTGTCTGCGCTGCCGCCTCGCGGGGTCGCCGCTCCCTCCTCCGGCGTTCGGGGAACGCAGCGTCCGGGCCGCGCAGTTTAAGTGGGCACCCACAGCGTCCTCGTCCGGGCGGCCGACTCCCAGGCTCCCGGACCGCTCCCGAGACCGGGCCGTCCCCTTCCCAAGGATGGTTTGTGTCTGAGACCCTTCGCCCCTTTGTCATGCCAGAGACTGCAGACTGAATCCTGGAGCCCGAGGCCCAGCGATCATGGACCTTTTCTTCGTGGTTGCCTGTCATTGTTTTTCTCTTTGCCAAGGCAGAAGGAATGTTGCTATTCCTCACGATTCCCACGTGTCTGTCTTCTAAGGCCCAGCGCAAAATCTCTGCTCCCTGAAGCTCTCTCCCTAAGGAAGGAGATCCTGCTTTGTCTAAACCTGATTAATCCCACTTAGACGTCCTGTTTTAGAGAAGAAATCCACTTCCAGTGGATAAATGTAATCTCTTTGCAAGCAAGATCTAAATCCTATCCTGTTTTATCCGCAGCTGCACCCAGCCCAAGGTAGCGGATGTGCTATAAATACATATATGTTGCTGTTCGGTGCCCTGGAGTTGATTCCACTCATACAGTGCCCTGGCCAGTCCTGTGCCTTCCTCACACTCATTGCTATGTTTGAGCCCGTTGTTATGTAAACACATAAATGTGAGTAAAAGGAGCACTGTTACCACGGAAACCTCCTACTGCTTTAGCTGGTTCTCAAAGTACGTTTCCTAACTAGCAGTGTCAGCAACACCTGGGTACTTGTTAGAAACACAGATTTGTGCGCCACACCCACACCTCCTGAATCAGAGACCCTGGAGGGAGGGCTCAGACATCTTGTGTTTTAACAAGCCTTCAAGTTCAGTCTGACACACAAGTTTGAGAACCACAGCTCTAACGTAAACACGAAAAGTAATTGTTGGGTTTTGTTTCGTTTTTAATTTCAGGGTAATCACTCTGGGTGTAATGACTAAGAATGCTCTCTGGAAAATGTAAGCTCTTTATGTGCTGGGACTGAGTCCTTCTCACCTTTGAAAGCCCCACCCTCGCCCCTAGTGTGTGCTGGAATTTTCTGCAGAGCCTTTTCGGTCTCCATGTCCTCGAGAGATTTCGGATGCATTAGATTAGGATGAGGCCTGAGAAGTGAGGTTTTAAAAAACTCCTCAGTTTAAGAACCCATTCCCAACAATCTCTGGGACACCTGCTTTGTGTGTGGGCTTGAGAGACAGATTGCTAAACGTTTGATCCCTGACCCAACCATTTCCCAGCTTGGTGTTTGCAGCGCATTGTTAAAATAATGACACCCGGGAGTCTTTCCTTCTGGTAGTCCCCTCCCCTACGCTGTGGGCTTAACCATGTGACTTGCTTTGACCAATGAATGATCTGGTAAGTACTTCATCCTTGAAACTTGCTATAAGTATTTGGTGCAATATTTTTAAATGTTTCCTTCTGCTACAGAAAATAAGAAGCTCTGGTAATGCTGTAGGATAACCACTGGAGTGCTAACCACAAGGTTGGCAGTTCAAACCACCAGTATCTCCAAGGGAGAACGATGAGTCTTTCTGCTCCAGTAAAGACTTACAGCTTCAGAAACCAGATACACGGTCGCTGTGAGTCCTAATCAACTTGAGGGCAATGGGTAATAGAAAATAAGAAACCAAGGGTAGATGCAAGCTATATTACACATAGGGAACAATGTCTATGTGTTGGAAAAAGGTTAAATGGATGTAACTAATGTAACTTTCCAGACAGAAAGGGCTGGAAAGAGCAGCCAACCCCCTCACCACCACCCCTCACACACACTGCCATTGAGTTGATTCCAATTCATAGCTACTCTTCTACAGGACAGAGTAGAACTGCTTCTTAGGATTCCCTACACTAAATCATTATGGCAGCCCACAGCCTCATCTTTCTCTCACAAAGCAGTTGGTGGGTTGGAACCAATGACCTTGCAATTAGTAGCCCAGTGCTACGCCCAAAGTGCCACCAGAGCTCCTTGGAAAGACTAAGTAAACCCTAAATATTTAATAAGGTATGAATCCTATTACCTCTAACCTGTAACTATAGCATCCCTAAATTGACTACCTACAGGTGACACCCATAATGGCCTCATGTATTCTATGAACAAGCCAAGCCAACGAAACCCCTAGTTTCTCAGTGGGCTAGTACCTAAGTACAGTCATAACCAGACACACTTGCCCAAGCATTCCTCCTACAAACAGGTGTATGTTAATTCCAGGCCCTTTCAAGTCTCCTGAACAGTCTCTCCACTTCTGTCCTCATGGTTCTGCAGAGAAGGTTGCCATGGCAGAAACAGACAAGACATATGAACATTACATAAAACAGAATTGGGTACTGTGACCCTTCCACCCTGCACATACCCTGTCCCAAATTTGTTAATCTACCTTCTTTCTTTCCTCTTGCTTCTTAGTCTATGTTTTAAGCCAGCCAGTAAATTATACTAGTTAATGTTGCTGCTTAACAAATTTTGTCAAAACTTAAAACAGCCTGTTGATTTTGCTCAGGGTTTTATGGCTCTGAAATTCAGGAAGGACTTGCCTGGGCAGTTCTTGCTTGGGATCTCTCAAAGAGCAATCTGTCAGCTGCAGCTGCTATTATCTGAAAACTCAACTGGACTGGAAATCCAAGATGGCGGACTCACATGGCTAACAGTTGATTGGGACTGTTAGTTGGAAACTCAGGTGAGGCTGTAAGCCCAAGCATTTTTCTCTCCCACAGAGCAGCCAGTCCAGCATGGGAGATACAGAGAAGTTGGACTTCCTTCAATGGCAGCTGACTTCTTCTAAAACAAGTGTCTAAAAAGAGGCAGGCAGTAGTTTTTTCTGACCTATCCTCAGAAGTTACCCAGCATTCCTTCCACTGTGTTCTACAAGCAAGCAACTAGGGCCAGTCAAGATTGAATGGAGCGGAATGTTGACTCCCACCTCTCAATGGAAGGAATGACAACAAATTTCAGGTCATGTTTTAACCTGGTGGCACTGGAAGTTAGGTATCGGACTGCTAACCACAAAGGCTGGTAGTTCAACCTACCAGCTGCTCCTCAGGAGACAGATGAGATTATCTACTCCCATAAAGATTTACAGTCTCAGAAACTCTGTAGAGGGTTGATGAGTCGAAATCCACTTGATGGCAATGGGTGTGGACTTTTTCGTTTTAACCACTACATAAATAAGATGTTTTAAGCTTGTTAATTTGGTCTATAAGACTGTCTGCTTCATGGCCTATGGGATAGCCTGTCTGTTGGTATAGTTGGAGCCTGCCATTGCATCAAGGTCATTTTTCCCAGGACACTTGCCTGTTTGGAATCCAGCTGCAAATAAAAAGTCTGGGCTACCCTGCTGGAAAGGCCATGTGGAGGAGGAGGCCCCATCCAACAGCCCTAGCTGTTGCCAGACACATCTATGAGGCTATGTGGTACCATCCAGCCTCAATCAAGCCCAGATGATAACATAGCAGAGTGGATGAGAACATCGGCTATGAACCATTAAGGTTTGAGTCCCTACTCTACCCTCTTACCAACTGTTGTTGTTGTTATGTGCCGTGGAGTCGGTTCCGACTCATAGCGACCCTGTACAGGGTTTCCGAGGCTGTAAATCTTTACGGGAGCAGAATGCCTCATCTTTCTCCTGCGGAACAGCTGGTAGTTTCAAACTGGTGACCTTGCAACTCTCAGCCCGATTCATAACCACTACGCTACCAGAGCTCTTACCAACTAGTTGCCATCAAATTGGTTCTAACTCATAGTGGCTCATGTCTGTCAGTGTAGAACTGTGCTTCGTAGGGTCTTCAATGCTGATAGTTTGCAAGTAGACCAGCAGGTTTTTCTTCTGAGGCACTTCTGGGTGGACTCAACTTTCCAACCTTTTGGTTGTCAGTCAAGCACATTAACCAATTGCACTACACAAGGATTCCCATGAACGATATAACCTTAGGCTAATAACACCCTCTCCATGCTTCAACTTGATCACATGTTAAATGGGAATTAGAGCATCTGCTTTATAATGTTACTGTGAAACGAAATGAGTTAATACATGTCGACCATTTCAAATAGCATCTGGCACGTACTAAAACCCCCAAATCCACTGCTATTGCATCAGTTCCAACTCCTTGTTGTCGTTAAGTGCCATCGAGTCGGT